TATCTTCTTAAGGAATGAAGAAACGTAATGAAAATACCAAGAAAACATCTACTTTGTATGATATGACTTACGTTTACTTGAACACGATACTTTATTTCTCTGATTTGACTTACATTAAATATCATTTCCCGTAAATTGGGAAGGAGAAGGAACAATAAAATATAACGATATATCGCTCTCTATTGTCGTTTAACTGTGGGTTATGGGAGGAATGGAGAGAAACAAAATCAACTTTTATACGGCCCTCCATTGTAGAGTTTTTAATTATTTTAAAATATAATGATATCCTGTGTACGAAAAGAATACTGCGACATTTTTCTTTGGAAATTCAAGATTTGAAAAGCGTGATTTCTCGTTTGGTTGAAAAGATGACAGATTTTAAGAGGGATTTCTAATAATGTATCACAATTCGTCGTTTCGTAAGCCAGTTTAAACTTTCAAAGTTCTCTTGAATAAAACATGCAGAAGATAGCCTTGAAGGTGATATAAACCAAAAGGTAACATTCCATGGTTATAACTACTAAATCAAAACATACACTTTTCTCACATGTCCTCACCCAATAATAACCACGATATTAAAACACAACTTCTTCCTGTCGTTACTTTTCCATAAATTAAAGACCTTAATTTCTTTCATTAAATACAATTATTTAAAAGAAAAAAAATCAACTGATCATGTGTGAGAATACTTATCTTTATTGAAATTATAAAAACGTATTATAACGTACAATTAATAAATAACGATATTTCTTTCAGGAATGACAGTGGACCACTATCAAGTAGGTTCCCAACTCTTCACCTATACTGCTGGTAAAGCCTATTGTGACACCGAGAATGGAGCCCTTTTCATGCCAAAAAGTCAAATGATCCATGACTTTATAGGAGACTGGCTTAACACAAACTTCAACACCCACCGTTACTGTTGGATAGGTGTTAACGACAATATGACCACAGACACCTACATGTTCCTGGATGGTACGGAAGTGACAGGGTTTTTCTGGACACCATCTCACATGTCAGATGGTGTCCAGTCCTGTGTGGCTATGGACAGAGACCAAGGTTACGATTGGGTGGAACTGCCATGTACGGAGGAACATTTTGCTGTCTGTCAGATATGGGAAGTACAGGGCACAACAGTTACGCCTGGTTCTTCTACAACACAGTTGACTGGACCATCAACTGCGAATCCTTATGTTGGTAAGAACGGAATTTTGTATCCACTGTACATGATACTTTACAAGAAGTGAAATATGTTAGAACTTGTTCTTACAAGACATTGTGATTGTCGTACTATCCTTTATCACAATTTACAAGAAGTGAAACATGTTAGAACTTTTTTCTTACAAGACATTGTGATTGTCGTACTACCCTTTATCACAGTTTACAAGAAGTGAAACACGTTAAAACTTGTTCTTACAAAACATTGTGATTGTCTTTCAATTTTTCTCTTGCCGTTACCTTCAAAGAAATGTTCACTTGACTGTAATATATGCCAAAACATTTTGTCATCAAATTAGTTTGTTGTACACATAGTTAACTCACCTTCTATTCACCGATACAATATAGTCAGTAAACTCACCTTCTATCCACCAATGAAATATACAGTAAACTCACCTTCTATCCACCAATGAAATATACAGTAAACTCACCTTCTATCCACCAATGAAATATACAGTTAACTCACCTTCTATTCACCGATCCAATATAGTCAGTAAACTCACCTTCTATCCACCAATGAAATATACAGTTAACTCACCTTCTATTCACCGATACAATATAGTCAGTAAACTCACCTTCTATCCACCAATGAAATATACAGTTAACTCACCTTCTATTCACCGATACAATATAGTCAGTAAACTCACCTTCTATCCACCAATGAAATATACAGTAACTCACCTTCTATCCACCAATACAATATACAGTTAACTCGCCTTTTATCCACCAATACAATATACAGTTAACTCACCTTCTATCCACCAGTACAATATACAGTTAACTCACCTTTTATCCACGAATACAATAAACAGTTAACTCACCTTCTATCCACCAATACAATATACAGTTAACTCGCCTTCTATCCACCAATACAATATACAATTAACTCACCTTCTATCCACCAATACAATATACCGTTAACTCACCTTCTATCCACCAGTACAATATACAGTTAACTCGCTTTCTATCCACCAATACAATATACAGTTAACTCCCCTTCTATCCACCAATACAATATACAGTTAACTCCCCTTCTATCCACCAGTACAATATACAGTTAACTCACCTTCTGTCCACCAGTACAATAAACAGTTAACTCACCTTCTGTCCACCAGTACAATATACAGTTAACTCACCTTCTATCCACCAATACAATATACAGTTAACTCACCTTCTATCCACCAATACAATAAACAGTTAACTCACCTTCTATCCACCAATACAATATACAGTTAACTCACCTTCTATCCACCAGTACAATATACAGTTAACTCACCTTTTATCCACGCATACAATAAACAGTTAACTCACCTTCTATCCACCAATACAATATACAGTTAGCTCACCTTCTATCCACTAATACAATATACAGTTAACTCACCTTCTATCCGCCAATACAATAAACAGTTAACTCACCTTCTATCCACCAGTACAATATACAGTTAACTCACCTTTTATCCACGAATACAATAAACAGTTAACTCACCTTCTATCCACCAATACAATATACAGTTAACTCGCCTTCTATCCACCAATACAATATACAGTTAACTCACCTTTTATCCACGAATACAATAAACAGTTAACTTACCTTCTGTCCACCAGTACAATATACAGTTAACTCACCTTTTATCCACGAATACAATATACAGTTAACTCACCTTCTATCCACCAATACAATATACAGTTAACTTACCTTCTGTCCACCAACACAATATACAGTTAACTCACCTTCTGTCCACCAATACAATATACAGTTAACTCACCTTCTGTCCACCAATACAATATACAGTTAACTCACCTTTTATCCACCAATACAATATACAGTAAACTCACCTTCTATCCATCCACCAATACAATATACAGTAAACTCACCTTCTATCCACCAATACAATATACAGTTAACTCACCTTCTATCCACCTATACAGTTAACTCACCTTCTGTCCACCAGTGCAATATACAGTTAACTCACCTTCTATCCATCAATACAATATAGACAGAAACTCACCTTCTATCCACCAGTACAACATACAGTTAACTCACCTTCTATCCACCAGTACAATATACAGTTAACTCACCTTCTATCCACCAATACAATATACAGTTAACTCACCTTCTATCCACCAGTACAACATACAGTTAACTCACCTTCTGGACTGGACAGTAAACTTTCATTAATGAACCAAAAAAACTAATTCATCTTTTGGATCGAATGGATTATAGTAACCACTTTATTATAGACGAACGAATTTCTCTTTTATAGATACGATAATTTAAACCATCACTCATATATTTCAGAAAACTATCTCTACTTATAAACTCAACAAGTTAACCATGTTCCTCATATTTCATAAAACTAATTTTCTTAACCACCATAATACATATTTCATAAAACTAAAGTTTATATCAAAAATAGAATATTCTTTGTCAATAAACCTGTAATGGTGTCTTCTCGAATATTTAACAAATTCCAAGTGACATATGTTTGCCATAACTGTTGTAAAAACAAGGAAATAATTTGGAATTATTGAAAAACCGCCTTAGACTGAAACTAAATGTAACATATAATAATGAACAATTGTTAAAGACCGATATTTCTTACAGGAAAGACAGCAGCCACATATCAAACAAGTTCCGAACTCTTCACCTATACTGCTGGTAAAGCCTATTGTGACACCGAGAATGGAGCCCTTTTCATGCCAAAAAGTCAAATGATCCATGACTTTATAGGAGACTGGCTTAACACAAACTTCAACACCCACCGTTACTGTTGGATAGGTGTTAACGACAAGATGACCACAGACACCTACATGTTCCTGGATGGTACGGAAGTGACAGAGTTTTTCTGGACACCATCTCACATGTCAGATGGTGTCCAGTCCTGTGTGGCTATGGACAGAGACCAAGGTTACGATTGGGTGGAACTGCCATGTACGGAGGAACATTTTGCTGTCTGTCAGATATGGGAATGAAACCAGGATATTATTTGTATAATTTTAGTGGAGTCTTTAAACTCTATATACAGAGTGATTCACAGATAATACGACACCTTTGATCCGTCTTAAAAGTAATTTTTATTAGGTCCTTATAAGTCCGTTTGGCTGCAGCAGCATTTCTCATGACAAAAACAAACAAACAAATTTTTATTTAGTTATCCGGATATATATATTTTCTACATGTTCTAGGACCATGTTATATCACCATGTTTAGATCATGTAACAATTATAGATATTTTGGAGTCACCCTGTTTAGATCATGTAATATTTATAGATATTTTGGGGTGTATATTATATTAGTTGAATACACTAATGTTTTCAATCGCATGAATCTGTTGAATTCACTACTTTTAACAATTAATAATTGATGTGTAGATTATAATAGTTGATTAATAATTGAAGTGTAGATTATAATAGTTGATTACACTAATGTTTTTCACCTCATGAATCTGTTGAATTAATTACTTTGAATAATTAATCATTGGTGTGTAGATTACAATAGTTGAATACACTAATGTTTTTCACCTCATGAATCTGTTGTATTAATTACTTTGAATAATTAATCATTGGTGTGTAGATTATAATAGTTGAATACACTAATGTTTTTCCACCTCATGAATCTGTTGAATTAATTACTTTGAATAATTAATCATTGATGTGTAGATTATAATAGTTGAATACACTAATGTTTTCAATCTCATGAACCTTTTGAATTCACTATTTAGAACAATTAATAACTGATGTGTAGCTTATAATAGTTGATTAATAATTGAAGTGTAGATTATAATAGTTGATTAATGATTGGTGTGTAGATTATAATAGTTGAAAACACTAATGTTTTTTCACCTCACGAATCTGTCGAATTCATTACTTTGAATAATTAATCATTGGTGTGTAGATTATAATAGTTGAATACACTAATGTTTTCCATCTCATGAACGTGATGAATTCGCTACTTTGAACAACTTATTTATCAACTCAAAACAAGAAACATGATTTTTAAGCCAAGTTTTTTTTTATATACTTAAAACTTCGAATCTTTTTACGTTACGAGTGGGGGGATTAACATGAAAAAGTATATTGATAAAAGAACCATACTTGAAGTGAAAAACCAGGTAAATATATCTTATTAGAGCTCTTATTTTTCTTCTGGTTAAATAGCCAATTTAGTATCTACTAGATGTTTGGAAATGACCTCACCCTACGAATAACGGAATTTTGTCACACATTTGTGTATAAAAACTTGCAGTTTCTACCACAATGTGTGTTTTATTTATTACACAGTGATCACATAAGAGTTTGTTGTTTTTTTTTCGTTCCAGTAGATATTGATACTTGTTTGTTGGATGAAGTTGTCACTTGTTGCCCATGTCAGGCAAGATGAGCTGATCATAGTTTGAGATGCAGTGACGTATCTAGTTGATTGTTCAGTTTAGGTTGTAGGTTACAAATTCCTTCTTTATTAACATGTATGTTTTATTCTGAAGTGTTCACTGTTCGGTTTTTCGTTATGGTCTTTACTCAGGTGGTTGTAAGTTCCAGAGTTATTGAAAGGACTGTTATGCGCATGCTCCTTGATTCTGGACGCTAAAGTTCGAGTCGTTGACCCAATACAGATTTGCCTGCAACAAGGACACAAATATTTGTATACTACCAGTGATGTTTTTGAAGGATGTATTTTGTTCTTAAACAGGAAAAATTGCGTATCCGTTTGTTCGATTTGAAGATTACTCTTAGGATGACTTGCTGATAAGATGATTGTAGAATGCTTTCGATTTGACTTTTTAGTTTGATGCCGTGGGAACCATATATTCAAAAATACTTTTGTTAATGAGTGCTAGAGGGAAAGCATTTTTTAATCAAAGGTTTTTTAAATATTGATAAGTTCACCATGAAAATAATCATAAGAGCTGGTAAGTTGCTCTATGAATTAAAATATTTATTAAATTAGTTCTGCAACAGTTAGGTATAAATGTGTTGAAATAACAGTACAGGCCAGTAAATGTTGGTTTGTGGTAGTACTTAGTTTCGAGTTGTTGTTCAGGTTGATGACTTCTAGATCTAAAAAAGGCAGCTTAGATTATTTCTGCTTTTCAACTGTGAACTTTATATTCCTGTGCTTTGAATTTAGGTAATCTTGATACTTTTTGACATGTTTTTGCTTTCTGAATACAATAAATGTGTCGTCAACGTATCTCTTATAAACTAGAGGTTTATATTCGGATGGACATGACTGTAACCAATTGGTTTCATGATGAGACAAGAATAAATTAGCTAGTGTGAAAGCAAGTGGTGAGCCCATGACTACACCGTCGATTTGATCATATGTCACATTATTAAACACAAAATGAGATTCTTTGGTGGTAATTTCAAGTAGTTTCGTAAGTTGATTTTTTGTTATTGACTTCAGTGTTATCAGGAAATGATAAATTACTACTTAATTTGATTACTTCATCAAGCGGAATGTTAGTGTATAATGACTTAATATCAAAACTTGTGATGATCCATGGATTTGATGAAATTAGATAGATCAAAAGAGGCTTTAACAGTAAAGTTATTCTTAGTATAAGGAAGTAACAACTTGCTTAAAAAACAGCTAATTTATAACTGTATGTTGCTATGTTAGGTACAATGGGTCTGATCGATACATCTGCTTTATATAGTTTTGGCAGACCATACATAATGTCACTATGTGATCCAACAGATCTAATCTGTTTGTGTACTTGATCTGAAATGACATTCTCTTTCTTTAGTTTTAATAGGAGTCTTTGAAGTTTATTTTCTCTCTGTTGGGTGAGATCTTTATCTAAAACTTTAAACTTGCTGGAGTCATTTAAGATGTCGTAGACTTTATTAATGTAGTTTTGTTTGTTAAGAATGATAACACCATTTATTCTGTCCGGATTTGAGAACACTACATTATTTTAACGTTTTAGATTATTCAAGGCAGCAGTTTCATCGTTGAACAGATTACTATTATGTTTTTTTAAATTGATAAGCATATAATCCAGATAAAGCTATTCCCGATATTTCTTTGACAAAGTTATCAAAGGTGTATCCATTTTTAGTTCAAATGGGTAACGGTTTAATACAAGTTAGTAATTTTTAAAATTGATAAAGTTTATTTGATTTTTCCAGGAGTGATAGAGAAGTTTAAACCACGTGACAAAACACGTTTCTCAGGGTTAAAACATGATCAGAAAGATTATGTATGACTTCAGATAGGTTCTCAGTAAACGTGGTTGTGGGGTACTTGTTGCTTTTTAGCTTGTACAATTTCTTTATTTGGATTAGTTTACACTATAATAATTTTTGGCTATTTTGAGTCTGAATGGCTTGTTTTAAATATACGTATTTCAAGCGACTAATGTGTTCTTTTATAATTAAGAAGCTGGAAACTAATGACTCACGTGATTTGTTTTTTAACTTGCTATTTTCCAGTTATTCTTTGTTTAAAATGTTTCTTGGCATCATGGAATCGGTTACTAAGCCTTAGGTTGATATTGGAAACTTTGAAATGCAAAAATTTAGGACATAATCCAAAAGTTTCACATGCTTTTAGAAACTCAATGTGTAATAAATTCTTTTGAAATTTTATATATGCTTTTTCAGCATTCCTCTATAATTTTAATATGTGGATATCATAACGGTTTACTATAATAGTAGTGGCAGGTAGGCGTTTCGAAAATCTGGTCTTTAGGATGAACATAAAAACAAAAGTAAGAATGCGTATCGTTATAGCACTTAAAGGTTAGGTCACTACATATAATATATGGAGTTTCATAACTTACTCCACTTTCAACAATCTGTTAATATTATTAAACATCAAAGATTGAAAATTATTATAAAAGTATTATATCTAATACGTAAAGAAGGGTGTATCTTGGCTACAATGATGTACATATATCTAATACGTAAAGAAGGGTGTATCTTGGCTACAATGATGTACATATATCTAATACGTAAAGAAGGATGTATCTCCGCTACAATGATGTACATATATCTAATACGTAAAGAAGGGTGTATCTTGGCTACAATGATGTACATATATCTGATACGTAAAGAAGGGTGTATCTCAGCTACATAGTGTTTATGACAAGCCTATGATCTCTATATAGTAAATAATTTGTTGTACATACGTTTAACTAGTTCCGAATATATATATATTATTTTGAAAACAAGTGGAATGAGTGCTAGACGTTTATTTTTGAATTTATCGCCAACAAGTCACAGTCACCTGCTGTAGAAGAATTCTAAGCCCAACAACAACACCCGTCTTATTCAACCTACTTACTAAATACTACTACTATATATAATGTTAAGAAGAATAAACTCCCAATTAATTTGACATAGACATCTACAATTAGTATTAATATACCGCACATATACAAAATTGTTTCATAGATTATCTATTTATTACATGTCTATGATTTGGAGACAAATTAAGTGAAATACGGATAACAAATATATGCAGTTGACTTGTTTTTATAATAAAAATGGATTTAATTAGCCAAGTATTTTTAAGACTACTACTGTGGGATAACAAAACGTGTGTTATATAAGCATACATTGTGTTTTCTACTTTCTTGTATCAATACAAAAATTTTTCAAAATTCATTATTTGTAAAGTTTCCACGTCACACGTTGGTCAAGAAGGCCATTAAGTTACCTATTATTCACCTACAGCAGCACCTTTCATCTTCCCTACAAGGTCACATGTAGTATGTGAAGTTAGATCTATTTTACAACTAAGCCCCATAAAACCTTATACATGGAAACTTTACATCCAAATAAAGAAAATCGGTTCATAAATTACAGAAAACATACCAAGGATTTGAAACAAACCATGTTACAAGTAGGATATAAAAATACCAACACTGGGAGGTTGGTTGAAAAAGCTAACAACACTCAGTGAAAAACATCCTTAAACAGTGTAATAATATAGTTTCAAGCCGAATTATTCTAGTTATCATCTATTACTTTATACTCAGAAACGTTCCCCGCATTCTGAAATAAACATTTTCATCTACTACACCTGAATGATTATCTTAGACAAATATTTCCTGAAGTTTTCGTCGTCTCTTTCTGAAACAGCAGAAGTCTGAAAGATGTCCTTGTCTATGTAAAATGAATTACACCACATCAAAGAATGGTTGTCATCCATGTAATAAAGCTCGTTGTCAAACCTGCAAGTTCATAAAACTACTAACTCTTTTTTTTCCAACAAATATGACCATAAACACTTTAAAATTTCTAAGGAAATCACTTACACAACACAAAATACCATTTACCTTATACTGTGTAAAAAAGTGCAATCACCAGTACGTAGGACAGACCCAAACGACTCTTAGATAGCGTTTCAATAACCATAGATCTTCCATTAACACCAAAAAAGGCATCCTTGTTACTCAACACTTCAACCAACCCAGTCATTCTATTAATGATGTGACTCTCATCGACATTGAAACCAACTTTAAAACTAAAGCCAATAGAGAGATAAGAGAAGCCTATTGGATTGCAATTTTAAATACTGTTCAACTTCTTATATAGATTGCGAACCGTGGTGTCTGACTGTGCGTTCGTCTGTTTCCTGTTTGAAAAGCTG